CAAGCTATGGAGAACGTCAACTATTAGTCTGCGATCCAGTCGACAACCCGCTGCCCATCGATGCTGTTTTGAGAAAAATACTGCGACACGTTTTGAATACCGTTGTTACGAATGAAAAGCTGAAAGGATGCATCGTGAAACCTCGCAACGCTTACAACCACCAAGATGACGCGTCTTCCTGCGGAGTTTACATCGTCTTTTATGCTCGACAATACCTCTCTCATCGACGCCTTTTCCTGGACAAGAATTTTCAAGAAGCGGATGAACGGAAGCAAATTTACGAATTCGTTGTGAACAGTGACCAATTGAACATGTCGGGACCATCTGAAGCCGCATCTTTCACATCTTCGACCAATATGCACGCTTTGAATATCCAAGACCCGATGATAACGCCGTTGCGCCCGACAAGAGCAGTCAAGCAGCGTAGCAAGGAACGAATGTCGGATATATTGATGGAACTTAATGCATCTCAACGAGTAAAATACCGCGATTATGAAAGACGCAGACGAAAAAACGAAACAATGAGGGGCCGCAACATTCGCCTAGAGCAGTGTTTCCCAAACTTATGACTGCTGTGTACCCTTTCTAAATTTTTCGTAATGCCGTGTACCACTAGTTAAAAAATGAATGTATTTTTATAAAAGTGTTAATTTTTCTTTTTTCGTGAAAAGTTTTATTAATAAGCTTATTTGCATCAGTGAGAAGGATGATATTGTTTTTACTGTGATAACTGTTCATCATAATTCGGTTCTCTTGTGGTCAATTTTAGTCTGAGATGCGATTCCAAGTCCAATAATCTATTTTTTTCTTCCGACTTAATGTCCACGAATGCTGAAAAAGCGACTTCGCATAAATATGAAGTTGGAAAAGGCAAAATATATTTCACAACTTTTTCTGTTAAGACTGGACACATATTTTGCATTTGCAGCCAGAATGATGTTAAAGTACACTCTTCGTTTATTTTTCAAGAATCCGTCTGATGTCAATTCCAATAATTGCTCTTCTTCCGCATGCAACAATCCTTCTGGCATGGATATCGTTAAAGTTAAAAATCACAACTGGCTGTTGGCACCACCAATTATTAATTCTGTAATCTTCGAAAAATAGCCAATAGAAAAATACGCAATCGTAAATTTTCATGGCTAGCTTTGTTTTTAAATTTTCGTTTGTTGTAAGATATTTCACATAAGAAAGCGTACCCCCGCTAAACTGTTCCCGTACCCCTGGGGGTACGCGTACCACACTTTGGGAAACACTGGCCTAGAGGAACAACGCCGCCGTAATGAAAGACTCCGTAGAGCTGCGAAATCTCGGCCTGCGTCAACCTACAAAAATGCTGCAACTTCCGACGTGGAATATCAAAGTCTTGGTCCATTTAACGTCGCTTGCACCCACGATGGCGCTTTGCATTTTCCAGAAGAAAGAGTGAAGAACAAAATACACGTAGATTCATTTGGCGACTGTTGCTTACATGGAAGAATCAAACTACCAATGCCCGAATTTCCAAATGAATTAGCGCTTCTATTTGCACGACAACACCGCCTATCGGAAGAATTCCACAGAAGGATCCGCAACATCGACGCCTGCTTTGCACTTGCCTCATTCAAAATCGACGACGACAGAACCGTCAATCAACATGAAATCTACGCGTTTATCGCCGGCGGTCAAGTCCATCACAAGATCAACCTGGCAACGCGCCCGACTCAAGACCCGCAAGGTGGATTTGAACAGCCGAAGTTTGCCCAAATGTACTTCATGGACCCGGACGAGGCTACAGCTGCGCGATCTGAGCTCAACCGAGAGTTAAGCCAAGAACTATTGCAACTACTCGAGGAGATCATTCGCTTTAACAACCCGTTCGCCCAATCGTTTATGATGATGAGAGAAGTGATCGAAGAAACCAACCAACGCGCAATCGCAGCCGGAGTACAATCGCCCAATGTCCACCTCGTCTTTACAAACCGTGAAAGCGACGATCCTCGAAGATTCAACGCACCAGTTGTAAACGAAATAGCCGCAGTCTTGACTCTCAACGCCGATCAAAGCATCCCAGAGAATGAAATGGTCAATGCGAGAACGCGGAAAAAAAATCACGCAGCTAAGCAACATCGATGGTCGCGTCGAGTCTTTTACCTACCCGCTTTTCTACCCGAGAGGAACTTTTGGATTCTATGTTGGAATGCCGCTGCACACGCCTTATCCATCAAGAAATCATGTTACACGCGCAGAATTAGCCTGTTACCGACTCGCCTACCGTCCGAATTATGCCAAGCCACTCCCGATCGATTGCACAAATGCAGGAATAGATCAACGATTGGTCGAGTTTAATGCACTTCACTTTGGCGGACGCTTACTCCAGCAATACGTGGTCGATACCTACATTCGCGTCGAAAGAGATCGCATACAGTGGATAAGGAGCCATCAGCGTGAAATTCAAGCCGAGAAATACGCCGGAGTTCACAACATGCTCAGAAGCTTGGCTGCGCAAAAATATGCTGCAATTGGCGAAACAACCATCTTACCGTCATCTTTTCCCGAATCAACGCGCTGGTACACCGAGAATTTCGAACACTCCATGGCATTAGTGCGAAGATTTGGATCGCCCGAATTTTTTATCACCGTTACCTGCAATCCGCAGTGGCCAGAACTCCTGTCAGCGATACGCAATGAATTCAACGCCGTAATTCCGGAAAGCCTGTTGGCTCTAACCCGTCCAGACATGGTTGCAAGAGTCGCACGTCTCAAGTTCCGCCAAATCGTCGAAGACATCATGACGCATCAAATCTTTGGAAGAGCATCCACGTACGTCTTCACCATCGAGTTCCAAAAGCGAGGTTTACCGCACATGCACCTATTAGTGATTATGTCGCCAGCGGACAAGATTCACAGCGCTGAGCAACTTGACGATTTGATCTCGGCGGAAATTCCAGAAGATGATCTGGAACTCAAGGAACTGATCTCGAAATGGATGATCCATAACCCTCGTGGTGATATGAACCCAAGCGCTCCGTGCATGGTCAGCAAACATGGAAGAGACCAGTGCAGATGGGGATTTCCAATGGAACATCAAGACATGACATCGCTGGTGGACGATGAAAAGCCGAGGTATCGCCGACGCTACAATCCGTTGTTGGATCCAATGAACCCAGAATTCTCGCATGAGCAAGCCATCTACAGGAAAGACTGCAACGGCCAGCGCGTCACCACAGACAACCACCACGTCGTCCCGTACAACGCCTACCTGCTCAAGAAGTATCAATGCCACATCAATGTCGAATTCGTAGGCAGCATCGAACCGGTGGAATACCTCTACAAGTACATCTACAAGGGCCATGATTGTGCTACGATAAAAGCCGTCGAAAACCAGCAGACGATCATCTACAACAAGCCGGAGAAGTACGTGGAAGCTCGCTATATCTCACCAGTTGAAGCATGTTGGCGCCTATTCAAGGATTTCGAGATCCAAGCGAAAAGCCACACCGTCGTTCGACTTGACATTCACCTACCCGGACAAGATGGCGTTAACTTGGACCAAACGCCAGTTGACCTTGCCAATATTGGACAGAAGGGTTCGACCTTAAGGGCTTACTTCCGCCATAACACCGCGCTGAAAGAAGACGAAGCGAACGGAAAGGCAGTCACCTACCACTATTATCATGAAATGCCGGAGCACTACCGATGGATTGGCCAGACGAGCACTTGGCAGAAGAACGTGAATGCTTGCAGCAGAATTGGTCGCGTATATCCAGTCAACTTCGTTTCCCAGCCAGAACTTTTCTTCCTGTGCACGCTTTTGTTCCACGTCAAAGAACCAACGAACTTCAGAGACCTCTACATTGTCGACGGTGTCCAGCACGCAACCTACAAGCAAGCCTGTCTAGCCAGAGGCCTCACATACGACGACCAACAGTACGTAGAAGGACTCCGCGAATCTGCTTCATCGAAAATGCCAAGTGTTATGCGCATACTCTTCGCTCAAATCCTGATACTTGGTGCGCCAGAAAACCCGAAGAGATTATGGGAACTGTTCAAAGAGGACCTCGCGGAAGATTTCATTCGAGAAGCAAGACGCACTGGTGGTTCCATAGAAGAAGCGATAAAGCGTGCCTACCGAATCATCGCGCATAAGCTGAACACCGAAGCTACCGAAGGCCGCAACTTCCGATACTGGGTGCAGACACATGGCATGGAAGACATCGACAACTATGAGCAAGATTTGGAACACGATATGATCGACGTCGACGAATCAACAGCAATCGGAGACCGCATGTACCAGCAACTCAACGAAAAGCAGCGTGAAATCGTCGACACCATAATCCAAGCACTTGAAGACCCGACTCCTGCTGCGAAATGCTTCTTCATAGATGGACCAGGAGGAACCGGGAAGACATTCGTCTACAGCACGCTGTATCGCATCGTTACCGGAAGGCTTAAGAAAGTGAAATGCATGGCTTACACCGGGATAGCAGCGATTCTTCTACCGAGTGGTCAAACAACGCACCGAACCTTTGGCTTGAAAGTCCCGCTTACATCCGA